AAACAGACTTTCTTCACGCAGCATGGCTCGCGTAACAACGGTTTATACGTTTAAAACTTCTTTATCTATTTTTCATGAACACAGCTGTAGTTAACATGAAAAATTCAGAAGAAAATTTGTTCAAATTTCAAATTATGGAATAATAACAATTTTCTGCGAGTTGATAAAAAGTACAACTTTCTACCAAGTTTTGTTTAGCAAAAAGAGTGAATCCATTTAATTTGTAAAGAACGTACAATAAAGATCCCAACAACCTATTAGTGATGATTTTCATGGCACATGTATTCGCTTGAAAAATATTTGTTATTTATTTGTAAACCCTATAGATTCATAAATTTCCCCTTTACTCCAATGGTAGTTTAACATTTATATTTATATATTGTATTGATTGGGAACCGTAAAACTGTGGAAGACGATCTTCTCATGGTTTTGAAATCTGAATGAACATGAGAGAAATTGTGCAGTGTATACATACAGACACATTTTTCTTAATAAGTTTATTTCAAGCTACTGCTTGCTTTGTTACAACATCAAATACACGTGAGATTGCATGAATCTCAGTTTTACGGGTCCCACATGCAGTCGTTTTTAAAATTATGAATTATATAAATTTTTATTAAAAAATCTATTTGAAGATAACCATGCAGCGTTTGTCCAAGCTCTTGAGTCTGCTGTCAACTATATTTCTGTTTGTCGTCTTCCTCATGTTTATCAATCTAAGTGTTATACAGACTCACAAGCAAACAGGTATAAACGTCATAATATCCAATGTACAGGGTTTCCCACAAAGAATGAGACTTCAGAGACGACTGCTAAATTTCACTGCAAACCAACATGTGCAAGCTCTCATAAAAATATCTAACAGAAATTTTTCCAATTACTCTTTAACTTAAGCTTTAGGAACAAACGCGTTGTGTTTTAAAAATGTATATGTCTAGGGCTAAGAAAAGATATAAGTGAGTTGGTGAGGTAAAACCAAAGGCCAAGACGAGGCTGTTTAAAAAAGTTTCAGAGTTGGCTATATCTCAGTGATTAAGTATTCTCTACAACTGTAAATTTGTTGCTCTCTTTATCCAATGATTAAAACGGCCATACCAGACTATGTTCATGGCAGAATATTTAATTTAAACTGGGGAACTTCGTGTTTAAAGATTTCAGGTCGTCTTTATAGTATCATCCTTTGTGAGTAACTCCGTACCAAGGATAGGGTTTGTTTACATTTTAAGTTGTAATCCCCTCAGGAATGCTAAATTGGTCTTGTGTTTACAATCTTTGTTATTGTATACAATAAAGATATTTCGCGAGCTTTACATTATACTAACTGCAAACAAAACCTATTCGTTTTACTAAATACTCTTGACTCTTGTAGGACAATCTATTTTTCAACTATTTTCATTCATCTCTCCTAACATTTTTGGCTTCAAAACTACCTAAACACAAAATTACAATTTATTATATACAATATATAGAAGTGGAGGAAATTGTCCTGACAGAAGACGACTTTCCTTTACAGAATCAGTATATAGGAGCGGTAAATATGGAATATGTTAATATTTCTAAATATTTGTATAAAGGAATTGAGTCTTTGCTACAGACTCTAATCTTCTAATCCTTATATTTTTTCAACCTGATGGTGCAGACCTTTTATATCTAAAACTTAAACTATTTGATGTAATAATTCATAAATTGAAATATCTAAGGTCTACGACATTTGGGTTTTAAAAATAAAAGGGTTTGAAAAATAGGGTCTGTGCACAAACGATATCATTCCTTTAGAACCAGCACAATAAGGCTTAAATTGATGTAAAATGGGTTGGCAAACTCTTCAAATATTTGCCTATAGCAAAGTTTTTCATTAAATATTATTTTTTTTTTCTATTTTACCCAGCACTAAATAGGCCAAGACTTTAAAGCTTGATTTCAAGATTTCAATTCAGAATATAAACCAGAATCTTTAATCTTAATAAATATATATAAAATCTAATTTTGAAATAATTTCTTGATCACCGTAACCTGTCAAAACTAAATTCTAACTTTATTCATGAAAGGATCCGGAGGAGCTAGTGAAAACTATAGAAAATGAAGAAAAGATATTTAAAGAAATCAGGAATATTCCAGATTAATTTAGAGTACTCAACATTATTTCTTTAGTTTTATAAAAAGTTTCGCTTTTTTTCCAAATAAAAAAAAAGTTTAAATATTTTTTATTTCATTAATGTTATTTAGCAAACATGATCGTAGCTTATTTAGCTGTTACTAGCTATAAACTGTTATAACAGTATTTTATGAGTTTCTATTTTCAAAACTAATTTTATAAGGAAAATTGAAAACCGTATGGTGTCGACATTCTAGATAAATTTCATTCTACAATATTCCTAAAAATATTCCAGATAGTTTTCATTCTACAATATTCCTAAAAATATTCCAGAAAGTTTTCATTCTACAATATTCCTAAAAATATTCTAGATAGTTTTCATTCTATAATATTCCTAAAAATATTCCAGATAGTTTTCATTCTACAATATTCCTAAAAATATTCCAGATAGTTTTCATTCTACAACATTCCTAAAATATTTTACAGATGGTTTTCATTCTACAATATTCCTAAAAATATTCAAGATAGTTTTCATTTTACAATATTCCTAAAATATTTTACAAATAGTTTTCATTCTACAATATTCCTAAAAATATTCCAGATAGTTTTAATTCTATAATTTTCCTAAAATATTTTACAGATAGTTTTCATTCTATAATATTCCTAAAATATTTTACAGATAGTTTTCATCTACAATATTCCTAAAAATATTCCAGATAGTTTTTATTATATAGTATACCTAAAAATATTCCAGATAGTTTCCATTCTACAATATTCCTAAAAATATTCCAGATAGTTTTCATTCTACAATATTCCTAAAAATATTCCAGATAGTTTTCATTCTACAATATTCCTTGAATATTTTACAGATAGTTTTCATTCTACAATATTTCTAAAATATTTTACAGATAGTTTTCATTCTAAAATATTTCTAAAATATTTACAGAAAGGTAAAAAACACGTCAAATATTATTTTACATTTAATTGTTAGCCTCTTGTCAACATAATCCTCATTAATTTTAATTCAAATTTGAAAAAATAATAATAATGTACTATCTAGTATCTTTACAATAAAACAAGACATTTGTAAATATGTTCCCTACAGCCGACTAAACGGCTGGACCGATGGGCTGAAATTTATTTGTGGACACTCAGGGGTAGCCTGGGGGTGACATTCAAATTCAAATTTTTATTTTTATTTTATTTATCAATTTATTAATTTCCAAGGGCAACGACGTGCGGGCCCTTCAGCTAATTCTCAATAATCAAGTTTGTTTATTAACTTTGAAATCTGGAATTTTAACTTTTTCTAGGAAAAAATTCAGGAAACATAAATTATTTATTTACTTTTTATTTTCTCTTTTTTAATCTAACATTTGAAAGATTTTTTGTCCTATGTTAATTTATCAAAAACGACAAATAATGCTGAAATAGCACATAGAAAAGTAAAAATTATTTCAAAATGTAGATTTTATTCTGAATTATTATCATTATTGATTAAATAAGCATGATACCTACAGTAAGCTGAAAAAGCAGATACAATCTGCCGGTCAGCACAAACGGAGGAATAAAAAAGCTCGAAAGAAGAGAAGTATCGAAGACGATGAAGGAGAAAAAAGACTCGAAGAAGATGAAAAAACGAATAAAAAACGACGATGTCAAGAAAAAGATAAACGTCTATTAGGTATGAAAATATTATATTATTTTTATCTCTCGTTCCTACCTCAAATTGAAATAATCTGAGTCCGAGTTTAATGAATTTCTACCACGGCTCAAATCCGCCAAAAATCGGGTTTTTATTGAGCGCCGGCTTAAATCTTTAATCCTTTACTTCTGAAGGAATGCCATGATTTAACCTTTTCAGAAGAAAATGTTTACAATTTTAACTGCATTAAACCATTTTTTAAATATTTTAAATGTGAATACAAGGATACCAAATATAGAGGAGATTATTGTTAAGGTCCTTTAATAGTGGATACAAGGATACCAAATATAGAGGAGATTTTGTTAAGGTCCTTTAATAGTAGATATACAAGGATACCAAATATAGAGGAGATTTTGTTAAGGTCCTTTAATAGTAAATATACAAGGATACCAAATATAGAGGAGATTTTGTTAAGGTCCTTTAATAGTAGATATACAAGGATACCAAATATAGAGGAGATTTTGTTAAGGTCTTTTAATAGTGGATACAAGGATACCAAATATAGAGGAGATTTTGTTAAGGTCCTTTAATAGTGGATACAAGGATACCAAATATAGAGGAGATTATTGTTTAGGTCCTTTAATAGTGGATACAAGGATACCAAATATAGAGGAGATTATTCAAAACAATCCAAACCTAGGTAAATATACACCATCTATTTCAATTGTGAAAATTTTATTTATCTTTGTACAAATTGTAAAACACAAAATCACAAAAGTTAATGGATTTTATAAAAAAAACATTTTTTGAATTGTGTTAGAGGCTAATTTTAACATTTTGATCATTCATAAACCTTTCCTGGGGTCAAGTGAGGTCCCACACAAATTTTAGACCCGATCGGTTCTGCCGTTTTGACGTTTATTGGACACAAACAAACCGACAAACAGACAGATAAGCATATATTGATATAATATATATAGATTATATATCTCAGTAATCCGAACTTTTCAAACTCTCCTGTTAAAATCATAAATTTTCCAATCACCTCTTTTTAACGGCAAAGATTAGACAATATTTTGACGTTTGGGAGATTTTTATCAAATAATTTGCGGATTTTTAAAACTGGATCACTTAAGAACACATGGATCACTAAAGAACACACAAATAAATTTAAAACTTATAAAAGCTTCGTAAGCCATGTCACTTTTTAAACATAAAAGTATTTGCTACAACATAGAGTGATAACAAAAAAAAAAGTGGAATGAAAGTCGTCTTCGTTTATTTTAGGTAAGTTTTCGTTTTCATATTGTTAATTATGATTGATAATTCTCTAAATGTGTTCAACATTTGTGTGTTGTTAATCCCGGAATACATTTATCAGTATATTTTGTCAACCAAAGACGAGGGTTTATTTTAGTTTCTCTATACATTTAATTCACTAGCTAGTCATATATTGTTTAAACTAATTTCATTGACATACATTAATTGCAAATTTTATTAATCAAACAAGTTTTAAATAATAAGCTCCTTAGTTTTATCTTTTTCAAAATATACACTTGAATCTAAATACTCGCTAGGGAGACCTCAGCATGCAATTTTTGCCCGATTACAGGGTAAATTTTGTATGACGGAGGTCCAAAAGTGAGGCATGGCTCAAATTTGGTCGTGTTGCAAGGAACTTCGCGCTTTACAAAAAACTGTTGATGAGACCAGGACACGGAAAGGACTTGAACCTCCAATCCATTACTGGAGTCCTTTGTCATCCCCGCCCTTTGTGATTTGATTTGTATATAGATATCCAATGATAGTCGTGCCTGAAATATTTGAGGGAACAAGCAATTTGCACACTTAGATTTAAAAATTGTCACAACGGATATCAAGATTAAGATTGTAGATTTAACCTATTTCAAACTAGAACTATTTCAGAGTCATACAATTATTACAGTTTACAAAACTTGTCAGAATGCTTTTAAAGAAAATTTAAACGTAGACGACTTTTCATCCGCTTTTTACCGTTATTATCCCTCAGTAAAAAGTAGTTTCATTGTAGAAATAAGTTTAGCACATTGCACACGAATGTACAGTATGCTGTATGCATGAATGAGACACAAGACACCATTTTAGTGACATATCTGGCGCACAAATGCCAAAGCAGTTTTTTTCATATTGTAGGATTTCCAATTTTTCATTTTCCTTGAATATATTTAAATCGCTAAAAACATAAAGAAACTGAGTATTTGCCACAAACTAAAATTTCTAATTCCTCTTTCGTTGCAACCTTATGGAGTAAACCTTTGATATTTAAAACTTAGATTATTTGGTCTAACATAATTTATAGTTTTAAATATAAGAGACTTATTACTTCAGGTTGCAAAGATTTAGGAATCAGAAAAAAATTCAATTACTGTTGTAAAATAAAGTAGTTTTTTACTAGAAAAAGGAGGAAAGTTCAGTCCTGTAAACTGTAGGCCTAAGGAGGAGATCGTCTTCATTGTTCCGTACAGGTAATTTAAGTTAACTCTAAAACCTTCTAGAAAATAAAAATTTGCCAGTTGCCAGGGTTACCCATAAAGGATGAGACTTCAGAGACAGTTGTACGGAATTTGTTTATTACACCATTAAAATACTAAATTGAAGGCAGAAACTGAAGATAATGTTTTATATGAAGAAAATACGAAATAGGGAGATATATTTTCTGCAGTCAGAAGGACTAATCTAAATTCATTCAATCCGAGCATTAAACGATATACGGTATAAATAATTTATTGAACAGTAAATCATAAAAATGAAATCGATACTAATACTACTGATTAAGAGAGATGAATTTAAGCTCGAGTTTCCGACTCACGAACCATTCGTTCCAATTATGTTCACGTAAAATGAAGGTTCGTCGTCAACTGAGATCTGGATCTTTTCCCAGTTGACCTGCTCCCTTCATCTCTGAAATCCCTAGTTTTTTGGTATTCCCAGGTGAATTAACCTGAGCTTTATTCGGGCCTCATTCTAGCGTCGGTTCAACCAACCCTTCTCTCCATTTCCCGCCTAACTATTTACAGATTTTTACCAGGGGTGAATATTTTATCCTTGGAGCATCGTCATGAGATCATAAACCTCATCAATGCTACAATAAAGTTTTAAATATTTAGCTTTTTGGGTCGTCTTTACAGTCTCATCCTTTGTGGACAACGCTGCACTTTAAAAAACTTGTTTTTTGCTTTTCTATCTAATTTTTAGCAAAACAAGAGATTTTAAAATTTTTTAAAAGTTATTTTCACAACAAAACAATAAAAAACAGAAAATAGAGAACAAAAGTTGAAATTTTAACTCACCAACAGTTAGGAACTAAATTACTGACAAAAAAATCTTATCCCTAAATCTTTACAACCTAATGGTGAAAACTTATGATTTTTCAAACTAAATCGGCTTGATCTATTAGAATTTATAGTTTTAAACGGCAAAGGTTTACGACATCAGTTTGCAAAGATATAAGGATCAGAAAATTAGAGTTTGAGACAATTTAGTGTTCTGGGTAAACCAAAACTTTTCCTCATACTTACATTTAAGGTTAAGCTTTTGGAATGCAAAATGCAAACTGCATATATAGGAATACCTCTTATTAGATTCTGGGGATTAAAGATTTGATTTATATACTTTAATATATTAATATGCTTGTATTTACTACCCCTAATACAGATCAAAGGATATTTCTTGATGATTATCAATCTCAAGGGAGGGTGCATAATATGACAGTTTAATACATTGAATATAAATAGATATCCATTTAGATAGATAGATAGATAAATCTAAGAAGTATAGATAAAAGATAAAATACTATGCAGTACAGGGTGTCCCCATAAACATAAGCTGAGTCTGCGAGGTTGGTTTTTAATTTTGGTCATTATATGCCTCTAGGGACTTTGCTTACATACTATAAACTATTCAGTAATACGTTGAAAATTCATATTTAAAAATAAACAAAATAATCCAGCAGACAAAGTTAAAAATTATATTATGGGTTTTAAAATTAGGTATTTATACAATTCTTATTCTCAACAAAGTTGTCACATGATTATTAGGTTATTATAGGCCGGTGAAAAGCGATCAGATATTTTTCAAATTTATATTTCGATGACTGTTGAATAAAGAAAATGTGGCTAATATTTTCTTACTGCATTACGGTACAAAGCATGTACAGTATGGTTTTGCTTTTGAGGCGTGTACAGGAATTCCACCCCTCCCTTCCCCTTTTCCCAAAAATCAAATTCACCAAATTTCCAAAATAAATAGGAAGGAATAAAATGTCGTCGTTGACAAAAACTGTTCAGATTTTTTATTAAAGGTTGTAGGTGTCCATATACATATTTACTAGATATATTTAAGACATTATTCTAAAACTAATTCAAAGTTACATCCATATTTAATATTTCTTAAATGTTTTCATATTATTACAAAAGGTGTAGAATGATAATACTTTAAAGTATTCATTTCCTAATGGAAACATTTAATCAGCGGCGAGAAAAAATGATTTTTATCCTAAAAACGAACTTTAAAAATGAATTTGTTATCTATTGTTATATATTTTAAAAATGAATATTTGTTATCTGTTGTTATATATTTTAAAAATGAATTTTTGTTATCTATTGTTATATATTTTAAGAATGAATATTTGTTATCTATTGTTATCTATTGTTATATATTTTAAAAATGAATATTTGTTATCTGTTGTTATACATTTTAAAAATGAATATTTGTTATCTATTGTTATATATTTTAAGAATGAATATTTGTTATCTATTGTTATATGTTTTAAGAATGAATATTTATTATCCTAAATGTTATAAGAGATGATGTGTAGGAAAAAGTTGTGCAGTTTAAAAAATTGTAAAAAATGAACTGACTTATTATTATTTATATTATTTCTATAAAATTATTATTGTTTAGATCCCGTGAGGATAACTTGTTAGTTTGGTTAAATCATATGCATCCCATACTACAGAGACAAGCTCTCTTTTACAGGTATCTTTCTTTCTGTCTTTTATATTCATAATTTTTATTTTTCTAGATACCAGGTATATCCTAGTATATACATAGCTATGATGTATGTATGTATGTTACACTTTTGTACGTCATCACTCTGCATACTCATATGTGCATTGATCATATTACTGCTTTCAAATAAGTGCATTTAAAGCATGTAAAAGCTATTCGCCGTTATTGTGATGGTTTGTCAGTATGGCGTCTTCACAATTTAAGTTCTCAATGTGCGTCCACAATGTAAGTCTTTAAGTCCTCGATGTGCGTCCTTTTTTACTAGTTTTATTCTCGATCATGAGTGATTTAAAATTAGTGGTTCAAATAATTAATAATAATAAAGGATCAGTGAGTTCACTTCTGCAACAAAAACAATTCCACTCTCCACTAAAACCATCTATTTCTTTGTCGTTGAACTGAAGTGCACACAGACAGCTTAGTTTAAGATGATATGACATGTTTCCAGCCAATCTCAGTGGCGTATTACAGTGGGGGGTTATTGGGGTTAATTACCCCCACCCCCCTAGAATCCTTTGGGTAATTACCCCCCCCCCCCAATTAGAATCTTGGGGATAATTACCCCGTAAACGTATAAAATGCGGTTTTTTTGCTGAAAAATAGGTGAATTTTTTTATAAACATAGATATTTTTTAAAAAAAAGTATAAGAATTTTTTGGGAGGTGCCGACCACAGCACTAACGATCGGGATGTGCTTCTTCGAGCAAACTCTGTCCTTTTTACAGGATTGAATCCTGGGTACCTTTACGTTAAGTAAAAGGTTTTATATATAGAAAAATCTTTTAAAAAATTAATTATTTAGCAAGAAATTCAACTTTAAAATTCTTTGAACTGCCTCTTTTTTTTCTTTAGGACTAGCTTAAGCTTTTTGTCTAGGAAGTGACGGTAGTTGGAAATTGAAAAAAAAAATGTTGAAATTAAGATTTTGAGAAGTCCGTGGTAGTGAGGGAAGAAGGGAATTGGGAAAAATACAATTTAATTTATGTGAATATTAAATTTTTAAAAGTCGAAGGTAGTGGGGGTAGTTGGGAATTGAAAAAGAATTCTTGAATTGATGTTGAAATTAAGTTGGTTCGGTGGTAATGAGGGTAGTTTTTAATTTTAAAAAATTCTTGAATAAATATCGATAAAAATATTTCAACAATACCTTTCACGAGCTATTTTTCTATCTGTCTAGGGTTATTGTCGTGGAGCAAATTGATAAACAATCCTTTAATAGAGCTGCTCTTTTAAACATAGGTAAACAATCCATTAATAGAGCTGCTCTTTTAAACATAGGTAAACAATCCATTAATAGAGCTGCTCTTTTAAACATAGGTAAACAATCCATTAATAGAGCTGCACTTTTAAACATAGGTAAATAATCCATTAATAGAGCTGGTCTTTTAAACATAGGTAAACAATCCATTAATAGAGCTGCACTTTTAAACATAGGTAAACAATCCATTAATAAAGCTGCTCTTTTAAACATAGGTAAACAAACCATTAATAGAGCTGCTCTTTTAAACATAGGTAAACAATCCATTAATAGACCTGAGGCCGAATTTAAATTTAAGCCGCGGCTCAAATATGGTTGGTTCCACTTAAATTTGTATAAAATTTTTCAAGATTTAAGCGGGCGATCAATTAAAACCGGCTTTTGGGGGATTTGAGACATGGCTTAAATTCATTAAACCCGGACACTGCTCTTTTAAACATAGGTAAACCATCCTTTAATAGAGCTGCACTTTTAAACATAGGTAAACAATCCATTAATAGAGCTGCTCTTTTTAACATAGGTAAACAGTCCTTTAATAGAGCTGCTCTTTTAAACATTGGTAAACCATTCTTTAATGGAGCTGCACTTGTAAACATAGGTAAACAATCCTTTGATAGAGCTGTACACTTGTAAACATACTTTGTAAACCATACACTGTAAACCTTAGTTTAGTAGAGCTGCACTTTTAACCATATAGGAAAACCATCATTTTTTAAAACTTTATAAAAGTTAAATATGATTAAAGAGTTTATAGATGAATTTTACTATTCTATCTAATTTCAGGTATTCTGGAAGCACAGAAATTAGGTAATTGTTTAAATATTGCATACAAATATTGTTTATTTTTAATGTTACAATAATGATAGAAAAACTAACAAAAAAGTTGAAGAAAAGCATTGTGTACTGTACTGTACATTGTACGTAAAGTGACATTTTACATGGTAAAGCGGTGCTGTTTTAAAAATAAATGGTTTTTGATTACTCTCTCTATAAACTAAAAGAATATTGAAGAAACAAGTTCCTCTTGCCACATTTAAACAATATATGATCCAGTCCTTGACTTGAACAGCACACACAAAATTTTTTTCTTCTATGAAGATACATATATATACATGACAGTTATAACCAGAAAACTCAGAAATAGAAAGACGACCTTCAGAATAACGTTATAACTTTAAAAAGTCCAATGAGCATGAAACACAGCATTTGTTCCGTCAGCAGATGCGGATCCAGCTCTTTGAAAAACTGTTATTCCATTGTTTTCTGTTGTATCACTGTATATTTATATATATATATATTAATAGAAATAGAAAAAAATATATATATAAGTATTTTTGATATATTTGCATGTGAATCTCAAGTAAATAATTAATATTATTGTTTAATATCTGATTATCTGATTATTATAATTATTGGCAGGATCCCCCACCTGCTTCGTGTTTCATGATGTAGATCTACTAGCAGAGGATGACAGGTCGTCTTTATAGTTCAATAAATTAATCAAAAATACTAAAAACTACCATTAAATGTATTTTGTTAAGCGCATATATCGTTCAATTAAAAACTCTCCTTTTTCACAGTTTCCTACTAAACTAGTTTTGTACATGAATATCTATAAGGGTGTCCCACGAAACATGACAATAGCAGGACTTGAACGTCGTCTTTGTTCTTAATTGCTACATTTGTGTGACAACCTATTTTTATAAGTAAAATTCTAGAGATAATAATCACAAAATAGCCCTAGTCCTGGCATTTAAAAAATGTGGTTTGCCTTTTTTTGTGCTTACAATATTACCCGAGGTATGAAGAATTTCGTTTAGATGTCTTCAAGTTTTGTTTTATTTAACAAAATTGAGATCTGAACAAATAGCTCCGGTAATGTCAACACCATAAAAAAAGGCAGACCACATTTGGGAAATATTAGGACTAGGTGTTTTTTTTCAAGAATCATACACGTTAAAATAAGTTGACGACTGGATGTCACAAATAAATACCAAAATCAGAGACGACTTCTCTGATCTTGGCATTTTTCGTGGGACATCCTGTATATTCAAATTACTGTTGAACATGACTATTTGCTTAACTATTGTTTACCTGAATATTTGTTAAAAATACTGTTGTACATGAATTTTTTGTTCAGGAATATCTATGAATGTGTAAAGGGAGCAGCGAGGGCTATGTCAGTGGCTGCCAGGTAAAGGGTTAAACAGTACACCATACAGTACAGGGTTAAACCGTGCACATGCATACAGTACAGGGTTAGACAGTACATCATGCTGTACAGGGTTAAACCGTGCACCATACTGCATAGGGTTAAACAGTACACCATACAATACAGGGTTAAATAGTACACTATACTGTACGGGGTAAACGATACACCATGCTGTATAGGATTAAACAGTACACCATACTGTAAAAGGTTAAACAGTAGTACACTATGCTGTACAGGGTTAGCCAGTAGTAACTATGCTGTACAGGGTTAGCCAGTACACAATGCTGCACAGGGTTAAATTGTAGACCATGTTGTACAATGTTTAACAGTACACCATGCTGTACAGGGTTAAACAGTATTACACTATGCTGTACAGGGTTAAACAGTAGTACACCATGCTGTACAGGGTTACACAGTACACCATGCTGTACAGGGTTAAACAGTAGACCATGCTGCACAGGGTTAAACAGTACACCATGCTGTACAGGGTTAAACAGTAGACTATGCTGTACAGGGTTAAACAGTAGACCATGCTGTACAGGGTTAAAAAGTAGACCATGCTGTGCTGGGTTAAACAGTAGTACACTATGCTGTACATGGTTTAACAGTACACTATGCTGTACATGGTTAAACAGTAGACTATGCTGTACAGGGTTAAACAGTATAACAGGTTTTCTCTCTTTCTTTTAATTTTACAGAAACATAGCCTATACTACGTCGACTACGCGTAATTCCTTTGGGCCTCTGTCTCAGGGTTATTGTGAACGAAACACACATAAATCTTGAAAAGACGACATCTAGTGTCCTGTCTGTTATTTTAATTTATCTATGTTTATTAAACACCTCAAATTCAGAATTGATTTAAACAAAACTGTCAAAGCTTGGTATAATGAATAGTTTTACATTTTTTTCAAAAAAAACAGTAAATTAAAATGTGTATGAAGATGAGTTATATTTTAAAACTGTTTTCTTACGAATCCCAGTTTTATTTCTACATGTTATACATCGTGTATGAGATATTCCTTAAAGAACTATAAAAATGACATTAGCAGAAAACCTAAAAATTTCTTTCCAATATTCTAATTATTTTCTTTGCATTTCAAACTTTTCTTTAATGCTTGAATTTAATCTTGGTTCCTATAAAATTATCTGATATAAAAAAATCAACTTTAAGATATTCATCCATTATCCGAATTATAATATGTTTGTTTTAGTAAATGGAAATACAAACTTCAATATCAGGAATACTGTGGAGGAGTTATGGCAATCGGTAATAATAACCAAAAGAGAACGATTACTACTTTTATAGTAATATGATGATACTAATAATAATAACAATTATCATCATAATAATAATAATGATAATGATAATGATAATGATAATGATAATGATAATGATAATGATAATGATAATAATAACAATAATAATAATCAGGGTTGATGAGTTTTTTTTTATATTTATTTGTCCAGTATTTTTCTATATTCTTTTTATTCCTATTTTTTTTAACTGTAATCCTATTAAAGACGAATAAACCTAAACCTTATCTAGATTTGTATGATATCAAGAAGTTCAACGGTTTAGCAAATAGTTTCTATGGCTGGGGAGGGGAGGATGACGACCTTTATCACAGGTAAATAGTTTCTATGGCTGGGGAGGGGAGGATGACGACCTTTATCACAGGTAAAATACTTTCATGGATGGGGAAGGGAGGATGACGACCATTTTTCAGGTAAATTAGTTTCTATGGCTGGGGAGGGGAGGATGACGACCTTTATCACAGGTAAAATAGTTTCTATGGCTGGGGAGGGGAGGATGACGACCTTTATCACAAGTAAAATAGTTTCTATGGCTGGAGATGGGAGGGTGACGACATTTATCACAGGTAAATAGTTTCTATGGCTGGAGAGGGGAGGATGACGACCTTTATCACAGGTAAATAGTTTCTATGGCTGGAGAGGGGAGGATGACGACCTTTATCACAGGTAAAATAGTTTCTATGGCTGGAGATGGGAGGGTGACGACCTTTATCACAGGTAAAATAGTTTCTATGGCTGGGGAGGGGAGGATGACGACCTTTATCACAAGTAAAATAGTTTCTATGGCTGGAGATGGGAGGGTGACGACATTTATCACAGGTAAATAGTTTCTATGGCTGGAGAGGGGAGGATGACGACCTTTATCACAGGTAAAATAGTTTCTATGGCTGGAGATGGGAGGATGACGACCTTTATCACAGGTAAAATAGTTTCTATGGCTGGGGAGGGGAGGATGGCGACCTTTATCACATGTAAAATAGTTTCTATGGCTGGGGAGGGGAGGATGACGACCTTTATTACAGGTAAAATACTTTCATGGATGGGGAAGGGAGGATGACGACCATTTTTCAGGTAAATTTTTCTATGGCTGGGGAGAGGAGGATGACGACCTTTATCAGAGTTTAAATAGTTTCTATGGATGGCAAGGGGAGGATGACAACCTTTATCACAGGTAAAATAGTTTCTATGGCTGGAGAGGGGAGGATGACGACCTTTATCCCAGGTAAAATAGTTTCTATGGCTGGAGAGGGGAGGATGACGACCTTTATCACAGGTAAAATGGACAATGAATTTTAAAAAGATTTTTACTTACATCTGAGGATTAAAGTTTAAAGTCATCATCAACAGAAGATGGCCAAATTTAACCTTTAAATTGTTATTTTTTATTCAGGTCGTCATTAAAGTCTCATTCTTTGTGGGTAACCAGAATAAGTACTGTGATAATGATTTTGAAAATGTTTTTTTTTCAATAATTAATTTTAGGTTGAAAAGTTCAAATACTTCAATAATACGGAAACCAGCCAATATTGCGAGGTAAATTATTATTATGCTATCTCTCGATCTAACTGAGGATTCAAATCTGGAAAAATGTTTCACTTATTGGTCATGAAGAATTCAAAAGCAAAAACAATTCATGGTCCAACTGGAAATACAATCATATGATATTTAGACAATTTGTCCTCGAAAGTGAGATTTTGCATCCTCTCAACATTTTGCAGAAAAGATGAAGATAAGAAAATATCATATTTTGTAAATATTTTTAGATATCTAATGCTTCAACATGACTCTGCTGTGGAAAGTCCAGAACTAAAGGTATTTATTGTCTAAGATAAAAAATAAAACTCTTAGAACATAATGAAATAAATTTTTAAAATTCGGTGACGGTGATGGACCAAACCTTTGTAGAGTAAATAAAATAGAAGTTGGAATTCTATATTTTATTGAAAATATATTTTGGTCTGGGTTGACCCTCGTCTTATGATTGTTTCTGTCATAAAGATTCAAAACAAAAAAAAATAAATGTTTTTATTTTAAGAGTGTCATGGAAATGAGCAGTAAAGATAAACTGATGAACGAAGGTTTAAATAATATTGAATATAAAATAAAGGTAATTATTTTTAGTTAAAATTTTTCTTTTTAAAATTTCTTTTTTCCAGTAGCTTAATTTGTAAAGTTATTTTAAGAGATGAGAGGAGTTTTTTTGAGAAAAAATTTCATATAAAGATATATTGAGAATGGTTTTGGGGTTTTCTTATATTCATATTTTATAAAAAGAACTGTAGACGTAATTTCTAGACTAACATGTCCAAGTAAAACTTTCACTGATTAAGGATAAATGAGATATTTTTTATATATTTTAGCAGAACTATTTTTTGATTCTGGGTTCTCTGCAGACTTGCAGTTTTATGTAGCAGAGACAATAGAGCCAATTTTTTTAATTTTACACTTTTCTAGATAAAAATACGACGATATTATCCTCACTGTTATACAGATACAGGTTTGAAGGGTTGTGAACCGGACATGCCAGTCAGTAACTGTAGAGTAATTTGAAACAACGTCTATATTCCCTTTAAGTTTCCGACGCTTATGAGCACGTGTTTTCTAGGATGTACATGAGACTCCTTTGTACACATTAATACAAGCAGAACTTCCAGGGCCCAGGAAGGTATTCAAGGTATGTAGATAAGACTCCCTTGTACTCCTTGTACACATTAATACAAGCAGAACTTCCAGGACCCAGAAAGGTATTCAAGGTATGTACATGAGACTCCCTTGTACACATTAATACAAGCAGTACTTCCAGGGTCCAGAAAGGTATTCAAGGTATGTACATGAGACTTCCTTGTACACATTAATACAAGCAGAATTTCCAGGGCCCAGGAAGGTATTTCCTTGTACACATTAATACAAGCAGAATTTCCAGGGCCCAGGAAGGTATTCAAGGTATGTACATGAGACTTCCTTGTACACATTAATACAAGCAGTACTTCCAGGGTCCAGAAAGGTATTCAAGGTATGTACATGAGACTCCCTTGTACACATTAATACAAGCAGAACTTCCAGGGCCCAGGAAGGTATTCAAGGTATGTACATAAGACTCCCTTCTACACATTAATACAAACAGAACTTCCAGGGCCCAGGAAGGTATTCATGGTATGTACATGAGAATTCCTTGTACACATTAATACAAGCAGTACTTCCAGGGTCCAGACAGGTATTAAGGTATGTACATGAGACTCCCTTGTACACATTAATGCAAGCAGAACTTCCAGGGTCCAAACAGGTATTAAAGTATGTACATGAGACTCCCTTGTACACATTAATACAAGCAGAACTTCCAGGGTACAGACAGGTATTAAAGTATGTACATGAGACTCCCTTGTACACATTAATACAAACAGAACTTCCAGGGTCCAGGCAGATATTCAAGGTATGTACATGAGACTCCCTTGTACACATTAATACAAGCAGAACTTCCAGGGTACAGACAGGTATTAAAGTATGTACATGAGACTCCCTTGTACACATTAATACAAACAGAACTTCCAGGGTCCAGGCAGATATTCAAGGTATGTACATGAGACGCCCCTGTACACATTAATACAAGCAGAACTTCCAGGGCCCAGGAAGGTATTCAAGGTATATACATGAGACTCCCTTGTACACATTAATACAAGCAGAACTTCCAGGGCCCAGAAACGTATTCAAGGTATGTACATGAGACTCCCTTGTACACATCAATGCAAGCAGAACTTCCAGGGCCCAGAAATGTATTCAAGGTATTTACATGAGACTCCCTTGTACACATCAATACAAGCAGAACTTCCTGCAGGGCCCAGGAAGGTATTCAAGGTATGTACATGAGACGCCCTTGTACAAGCAGAACTTCTAGGGCCCAGGCAGATATTCAAGGTATGTACAAACTATAAACATATTTATCAAAAGTAAAAAATTATAAATGAATAGATGATTTTTTATTATAGTGTTCATCATGAAATGCATGACGCACAACGACAATACAAGTAATATTTGTCACCCTACAATATGTCAATATGCACTGAGAACTCCTGTTTATTTGTGGTACCGATCCGACTTAATGGCAGCTAGAGCAGTGTGTGCAGAATGTACATGACAATAGTCGACCAATTGGACAATAAACCAAATTAATGAATTCCTACATGGGAGATTAATAGCTAAAGGCCGGTACAAACACCAAGAATGGTAAAATTTCAAATGAACCTGCGAAGTTTAAGGTCAATAATAGGTTTTATTGAGAAAATGTTTTATTCCTTTTTGCTGCAAATATTCATAAAAAAAAGAAATAATGTTAAGCATATTACAGTATTATTTCCCTTATATGCGTTATTATCTCAATTCTAGAAGTTGACATGACCTTTTCGTTTTGAGTTTTTAATCCCTGTACTAATATTCTTAGTCTAAAAAATTCTTTTTCAAATTTCTCCCCCCCCCTGGCCCCTCTCCCCTGATTATAAAGATTAATTTTTTAGGTTGAGCAAAAGAGTTTTTTTACCAGGTTTTCAGAACAGGTAAACACTTACAGTACAATTTATTTACGTCCAAATAAACATGGGCATAAAAAGACGACTTTAAAATCGTCCTTGATATCCGATAGTTGGTAAAGGACAGAGAGTTAATATAAATATTATACGTCTCTTACTTTCCTTACTTTGTATCTTTAAAATGGACGAATATATATTAAACTATCAATTTAGCTGGTACATAAATGGTAGACCACATTTTTTTGGGGAAATTTCGAGGCCAATGCATTTTTCGGCCTAAAGTGTGCTAAATGGGAATCACTAAAATTGTGTTTACGAAATAATGTCGCGCATATAACAAAGTTGTCAGTTCCCCATTCCGCCATCATATACAAGTATATTGTACAGAGCGTCAAAGGAGCGCATGTAGATTATCTCCAAGCTTTAACGCCAAAATACGCACATAATACTTGGAAAAAAAAAATTTTCTGCAAAAAATATTTTATAGAAACCTTTGACATCTTTAAAAAATGCCTCATTGTTTTTTGAACTATTCACGATCTCATATGATTTGGGACACCCTGTATATGAGCATGCTCTGCATTAAATGCATATGAATTTGATCCCCATGATGATGAATCAGGTGTAAAGAGCCGGAAACTTTTGTCCTGAACTAAATGTGGTAACCTCGCTTCTAAACAACTAACATTCCCTTCTCTCCGCACCGTAGTTTTGATATAAGTAAAAATACAAAGATAGATCTTATCCCCTTTGCTATTCTATTGGTCCTGAGTACTCACTAAACACGCGAGTGAACCATGATTTGATCAGAGGCTACTATACGTGTGAAACTACTGTCTCAGCCCAGTTCTAAACCCTAGTAAATCCTGGCTTTATCCTTTTCGTTAATCTTTATAGGGGATTTTATCAAAAAGTCGAGAGTATTTCTAACCTTTTTAAACATCTAAAGGGCTAAAAAACTCTTAAAATCAAAAGCTTGTGATCGATTTAAAGTGTTGTGTATTAACTTTAAACTAATCCGAAGGTGACCTGATAGTCAAACTAATTTCTCCCATTTATGTTCTAGACGTAGTGATCGACCACCTTGTAAGACGACTTACCTACCCTAGAATAATTGTAAACATACTTTTTTTATTCTTCGAAGATTGCCTTTCCGGAGTTTGTTTTTCCGCATTTTATCTTTCCGTAGTTTGTTTTTTCCGCATTTCATCTTTCCGTAGTTTGTTTTTCCGCATTTTACTTTTCCGGAGTTTGTATTTCGACGTTTTGTCTTTCCGGAGTTTGTATTTCTACATTTTCTCTTTCCGGAGTTTGTATTTCTACATTTTGCCTTTCTGGGGTTTGTATTTCTACATTTTGTCTTTCCGGAGTTTGTATTTCTACTTTTTGTCTTTCCAGAGTTTGTATTTCTACATTTTGTTTTTCCGGAGTTTGTTTTTCTACATTGTGTCTTTCCGGAGTTTGTTTTCTACATTTTGTCTTTCCGGAGTTTGTATTTCTACATTTTGTCTTTCCGTAGTTTCTATTTCTACATTTTGTTTTTCTGGAGTTTGTATTTCTATATTTTGTCTTTCCGGAGTATGCATTTCTACATTTTGTCTTTCCGGAGTATGCATTTCTACATTTTGTCTTTCGGGAGTTTGTATTTCTACATTTTGTCTTTCCGGAGTTTGTATTTCTACATTTTGTCTTTCCGAAGTTTGTGTTTCTACATTTTGTCTTTCCGGAGTTTGTATTTCTACATTTTGTCTTTCCGCAGTTTGTGTTTCTACATTTGTCTTTCCAGAGTTTGTCATTGCAACTTTGGTTTTCTCTGTTTTTATTAATATTTCTAATATATTTACATAGTTATCATCCTTTCAGATATTTCCTGTATACATTACAATTACAATTACCTTATTAATAATAAAGCACAATTGTGACAAAATGGGGGGGGGGAATAATAATACAAAAACTAATCGTATTTTCATTTATTTACATAAATATTATCCACACGATATATACTAGTTATATTTTAGGTTGGAAATACTATACAGAAAACAGTTCAGAAGATTATGGCCCCCTCTCAGGTTATAAAGTTAAATTTACATATAAAAGCATTTCATTTTTTGAGTTTTTTTTTTTAACAATTAACCAGAATTAAAAGACTGACTGAAAAGGGGTGTATGACCAAAATAGAATTATCATTTAGTCTGTACTAACTATTTATGAATTTGAACTGTCTATACTTCCGGTTCAATTTTAATAAACGATTCAAATCCTTCCTTAATCTTTAACTTTGAATTAGTGGTTCAAATTTGAACCGTCAGTTAGTTGTTTAGTGACATAGCTTTCATTCATTAAATTTGGTCCCAGGGAATTTAGTGATTTCAAATCTTGAATCACTGATTCAAAAAATGTTAACCGTTGTTGGTAGAGGCAGACATTGTGTTAAATTCTCTGTACCGAAACACTAAATGGAAATAAAAATAGTTCCGATTAATTCATAATTGAATTTTTTCTATTACTTTTTCCAAGCCACTCAAAAATCAATCCAAAATTTATCAATCTTTGGAAAATATTAAATTTAATTGAGTAAGAAAGACTCGGATCTTTTGACAAATATTTGATTTAATTAAAGCGATTTCTTCATTTTTTGATATTTTTTTTTCACTGATTTCTTTTTACCTTTTAAGTTTTGTCAAATGTGTTTGGCAGGTTTCGAATCAGGAGAAAAGATTAGTTTATCAAACTTTCTTTTTATAAAAGATAAATTAGAATTTCATTGTGCTCTCTAGTCTCGATAAACTAGAACCTTAACAATCTTTTCCCCCGTTTTCCACATTTTTCCCCTCTTTTCCAATTTCAACTAACACTTTCATTGAAAATGTTTGGCTTTAAAATCTAATTTTTTCTTCTAAAGATTTTTTACAAAACTTTTTGTTTGATTATTTTAAACTTAACCTTGCTACAAGAGCAAATGAAGCAGAAAGGAATTGAGTCTTTTTGCCACAAAAATGCCAACCTGATGGTGTATTTGATCTAAAGAATTCATAGTTTGAATTATTTCACGTCCAAGAAATAGGGTTGCAAAGATATAAGATTAGAAAATCAGAGTTTGTGGCAAAGACTCAATTCCTTTAAAAAATAATTTAAAATCTAATTTTGATATTGTACAGGAGGGTGGGCACTATACTGGAGATTCATCTTGGGACAGTTCTAAACAAACATTATAATCAGCTTAATTCAATAAACTTAGAGATATTAATCAGCTCAATCAGATGAGACGGATATTGATCAGCTCAATCAGATTAGATGGATATTAATCAGCTCAATCAGATGAGATGGATATTGATCAGCTCAATCAGATGAGATGGATATTGATCAGCTCAATCAGATGAAATGGATATTAATCAGCTCAATCAGATGAGATGGATATTGATCAGCTCAATCAGATGAGATGGATATTAATCAGCTCAATCAGATGAGATGGATATTGATCAGCTCAATCAGATGAAATGGATATTAATCAGCTCAATCAGATGAGATGGATTTTGATCAGCTCAATCAGATGAGATGGACATTAATCAGCCCAATCAGATGAGATGGATATTGATCAGCTCAATCAGATGAGATGGATATTAATCAGCTCAATCAGATGAAATGGATATTAGTCAACTCAATCAAATGAGATGGATATTAATCAGTTCAATCAGATGAGATGGATATTAATCAGCTCAATCAGATGAGATGGATATTAATCAGCTCGATTAATCAGTTAAATATATTTATGTCAGCTTATATGTAAATTGTTACTATTTCATTCTAACAATCAAAATGTAGAATTTATAAAAACACATATCCTTATATAAACCAAAGATGTGATAATATGGAGCTTGTAGTTGTAAGCTACTAGTATTGTAAAAATATCTGTAAATAAACCAATGTTATAATCACATATTCATTTAAATTAGAAGTCTTTTTCCCTAAGGTTTTTTGTTAAGAATGTCTAACCAGTCTTCCCGTTGTACAGCTATACAATATTCTCACATATAGGTAACCATTGAAACTTCTCTTTATAATTTGTTTCTTTGCATATTTTCAGAGTTAACAGAACAGGATCGTGCTAGGAGAGTAAACAATCCCTTTCAATAGAATTTTAGAAAAATTGTATATTTGAAGTTTAAAAAAGTATTTTTCAAAGGAAACATTTTTAAGATATCTCTTACATAGGAAATATATACTAAACAGTACTAAAACCTTCTTCTATTTATTTCAAATTTAACTAAATTCAGTCAGGTCTTTAGGACAGAGCTGGAGTAAAAGGGGCTAGGGAGTAAAAAAGGCTACGGAGTAAAAAAGGCTAAGGAGTAAAAGAGACTAAGGAGTAAAAGAGGCTAGGGATTAAAAGAGGCTAAGGAGTAAAAGAGGCTAAGGAGTAAAAGAGGCTAGGGAGTAAAAGAGGCTAGGGAGTAAAAGAGGCCCTGGAGTAAAAAAGGCTAAAGAGGCTAGGGAGTAAAAGAGGCTCTGGAGTGAAATAGGCTAGAAAGTAAAAAAGACAAAGTAAAAGTAGCTGAGAAACCTTAAATCCAAGGAAATTTCAAGTTTAAAAATAACGCTTAATTTTTAAAAAGAATAAAAAGATTTTGAAATTCTATATTTGTTTGTGCGTAAAATCAAAACTATAGGAAATACAAGGTCACAAAGTCGTATCATAAATTTGATTGATATATGATTTTTACAGGATATCGCTTATTACAGTACAGTGTCCATCAAAAATTGCAAAAAAACTTCATTGACGCCATCTTCAAATTTTCTAATTTATCATTTCTGTTTTCTCTGAAATTTTTCATCTTTAACTACAGGGTGTCTCAAAAAACATGGGAATTCAGTGACGAATTCGATATCGTCTTTATTATGAATTAGCATTGTAATACCTAATTTCAAAAGCCACAATATTATTATGTCTGCTAGAGTTTATTTTATGAAAACTGAAAAGGGTAAAAGACTGTGAAGATGTGCATATAATGTCTCCGCAAGATGAACAGTGAATAGGGCCAAGTTTACTCTGTTTGTATACTGCAATTTTCTTGTTTTACTAAGTACAACCGTATGCAGTCAAAACATAAACATTAAACAAACAAAATGTGAACGTCAGACCTCTTACAGATTACAGCTTTCTCAGTAAGTATCACTAGACTAAATCAAAGAATTATTTAAAAAGACGATATCGAATTCGTCACTGTTTATTGGGACACCCTGTATATTACGATTCATTTTCATTCCTCTTCATGCAAATATAAGTTAAATATGATAAAATATAAAATAAGTTAAAATATGCTAAAATCTAATGCATGACAGGCAGAAAAATTAGATCCATAAAAGAAAGAGAAGTACGTTTCCATTTTCTCGTTATTTTTCCACAATATATTTTATATCCCCCGACCTTGCTTCTATACATCAACATTTATCTTCATTTTAGAAAATTCTTTACTCAAGTTAATTGTGATTAAACAATTTTATACAATTCATTTTATTTATAGATACATAAATAAGATTAGAGTTTTATTTTAGAATGAAGCATAAAACTTAGTTAAGATTATCAAAATCTTGCCAAATTGATTTTCTAATTGAATATTAATTTTTCAATTAAAGTAAATGAAAACTATTTATGCATAACATCTAATTAAAGATCAAAACAAAAATGTTTCAGTAAATCAAACATATTAAAATCAAACTTATTGCATCGTTCTTTTCAAAATATGTTTAAACTGCTGAAGTTATTTGACAGTGAATAAAAGTTACATTCGAAGACGTTATTTGACTTCATTTTAACCAGTCAAATATTTTTAAGTACACTTAATCCAAAGCTTTTAAGAAGTTTTAAAAATGAAGTAAATATGTTTGAGAAAATGAAGTAAATATGTTTCAAGTTAATTCTGAGGTAAAACTTTTGATTGGCAAAGCGCTGATCTCGATATCCGTAGCGTAGGAAGGAAGGTCCATTCAATTTAAACAAAACTAGCCTTTCAGGGCCCTATGTGGCTTGTGCCCACTGTTCTAATACAAATTTTTCTTTTTATCTGTTGCTATTAACCATATTTTCTCCGTTCTACAAAATATACTTTTTCATGGTGGTTAATTGCTGCTTAAGGACGCAAAATCGATCTTTAAATTTCGTCCAGATTGTTTATTATTTGTAGTTTGTTTGATTTCCGCTGAATTCGTGGAATTTTATTAAAGAGACGACATTTAAGAATTTGAAGAAATCTGCGAAGAAATCATGAAGAAGAAGAAATTCAATATAATGATGATAAAGAAACATTTGATTCGAACATTGATTTCTTCACTAATTTCTAAAAAGAAATATGTTTCTAAACAGCTAATTAGTTTACTGTAGAAATTTTTTTAGATTTTACGTCGTCGTTATTTAAAACTAAAAAAAAATCACCGATTCCCAAAATGTATTCTCCAAAATGGACAATAGGGGGAGTTTTAATATGGATTTTGCGCTCTGCTCCTTTTCAGCAATTAAACACCGCAAAAGCGTCCTATTTGTATCAAATGCCTATATTACTCTCTGCCCAACTACCATGTTTTGCCGGCCGGTCACTTGGCCTGGACAATTGGCAGTTAACGGTGACAAACTTTAATTTAATTTTAAAAAAATGTATTTATTTTCAAGGATCGGACACTTAAAAAAAATAATATTGAAAGGACGAGGATTTCGATGTAGTTCGGACGAGAAAATTATGAGAATGTGGTTTGGACTAGAGATTGATGTGGTTGGCCTTCCTCCCCTCGCTGGGGTCGTATGAGTTGCCACAATAATTTTGGCCTGAAATCAGTTTAGCCGTTTTGACGTTTATTGGAACCAAAGACAGACAGACAAACACGGAAAATTTGCATGAGATGCCATACTGAAGTATACAATACACGTTACACATACCTCTGAGGTGTTTCTAACTTTCTAGGCTATTTTTTAAAGGAGTGTAAGCGTAATTTTAAATGACTGCAAAGATTTACAACGGTACCCTTGAGACATTAATCTGATAAAAATGTGGAAAAAACATCGGTATTTGACTCGAAAAGTGTGTATTTCTGTAAATTTCTTTATTGCTTCTTAAAAGCAAGAAATGCGGAAGTCACTTTTGCAAAGAAAACGCGAATGACAATAAAAAGTTTCAATAAACAAAAACACGAATATCTAATTCATACTTGATCCGAAAAAGGGTACCGTTGTAAATCGGGCATTGTCTTCTTTGCATCGAGGGTCACTTGGAATTAATTGGAATTAATTGGAATATTTGTGGCAAATGTAATACACTATAGTTGAACATTTTTTTAGAAATAACCTAAACATATTTTCCTTTCTTTGTCGTTCATTCATCAAAATCTTAGATGTAAAATTTACATTTACGTTTACTGTTTTACAGTTTTACAGTGGAGAATTTTTGGAATTCTCTATATCTCTCTCTTCTTGATCTAGCTGTATTATGTATCTAACTGTTTCTGTTTCAAGTTTGATTATTAACTTAATTTTACAGCTTTCTCCAGTTAGTTTGTCTACAGGCACTTGTAAAGATTTTATAGCTAAGTATTATAATTAGCTGTCAATTAAAATATTTCAACAAATTATGATTTAAAGTTTTATTTCAGTCATCGAAATAGCGGGCTAATGATAGGCTTGAAGTTAAGTCTAATTTGTGTATTCATCTTTAGGGAAGCACCAAATCTAAAACAAATAAAGCACAAAAAAAGATTTTAATTAGTTTAAAATTATTTAAATTGAAAAAAATTTAGTTTGCTAATATTTGGATAGCTTTGCATTATCTGAGCCCAACTACTATGTGATACAATCTGAGAAGAATGACTTGTACGTGATCAAGCTGTCTAACTCAGCAAACATTCTTGCAGATGTTACGGATAATAAAGCTGTAGGCAATGAAACCACTCCAGAAATACTAGAGAGCGATAAAGATAGAGAAGATGATAAAAAAGAGGAAGTGACTGAAAAACCTACAGAAGTTTCCACTAACTCCGAAAATGCTGTAAACGAGACTACGACAGGTCTTGAAAGTACGGAAGGCAACTCTACAGATACAGCTGAAGATGGTCCAGAAGCTGCAGATTATCGGATTACACCTGGAACAGAAATAGGAACAGATGGTATCCAGAATTTTGAAGAATATTCAAATGACCGTGGTTTTATTATCCCTGAGGTGTCCATGAGGAGTCCATTGATATATATAATAACAATAATTACAATTTACATTTAAGTAAATTTTTGTTGACAGTAGAAATTGTTTACATAATAATCTTCGAATAGAAAAATTTTATTTTGTTTCTTATTTTTAAAAGAAATTATTCAATTACAGTCAGAAGATTAGTTTTCAATGTGCTTTTAACGTGCTTTAAAATTTTACTCCACTCCAATGTTTTGATTTTGAGAAACCTAAGAGAAAAACCTAAAAATTCTATAGGCTTAGATGCGTTTCCGTCACATAAATGTAATAAATACCAATTCATTTGTTACTTTCGTGGAAGTATAGATTTAACTAAATCACAATAACGTTTTGATTTTATCAAAATTCCAATTCCTATATCTTTGCAGTTCGATGTTGAAAACCCATGATATTTCAAACTTAGATAATTTGGTCTAATACAGAAAAAACACTTTCCAACTATTCATATTTATCAATGGAAGACTGAAATGTTGAGGATTCTGAGGAAGACCAGGGCAAGGTAGACCTAACAAAGGCTACAATTGCTGGAGAGGAGAATATAGCTAACAGTACTACTCCTGGAAATGCTTCGGCTGATCAGACAGGAAACACTACTGATCAAGAACCTGGGATTGGTATCACAAGCACTGCTGCTACAGTAGAACCTATTGAACAGACAGGGTTAAATCAAACAGAGCTAATGAATAACCTGAAAGATTCTATAAACCGAACTGAGAATGTACTTGGACAAATGATCAAAGAAAGTGGAGTAGGTACAAATAACATTACCGGGGATGCTAATGAAAATGAACCAACTGGCATAGATCCATTCCTGTAAATTTTTATTCATAAATAAAATGTTATCCAATAATTAAACCATGACTGAGATTGCAATCCATTTGTACCAAGTTTTCAGTAAATTACTTATTTTTTATCCATTTTTTCCCCAAAAATGTAGTTTCCATTGGGTTCCCATCATGCATAGAGTGGAATGCCCGATTCACAACGGTAACCAGAACTTTGTCGGATCATCGACGGCAGAGAATTTTGCTCTACAGGAGTCTCTCAATAATCGCACATATCCAATGTCCGATGTGACTCTATTCACTCTGCAGTTTCTTTATTATTATTTTTATCTCGTCTCTAAGATGATTCATCGCATATGTGTGAGATATGCTAATGTTGTTTTAGTTTTGTTTTCTTTAAACTTTTTATATAATTTTCCCAGGTGTTTATTTTCTCCTTGTGATGAAGTATAGTAAACCCTATCCTAGATTATAAATGAGGGAAGGACAGATGACCAGGGGCGTACACTGGGTTTTATAAAAAAGAGCGGATAGGAACATGAAAACATGAGCAATGCTAAAAAGTTGCTAACTGGTTTCTAGCTCTATGCGTATTCAAATATTGTATAATTCTTCCTCATACGAGTTTATCAAACCCTTAAACTTCTATTTTAATTATTCCTAAAACACTGATCAAAATTATAAAGGGACGCCAGGCAATGTGCTTGTCAGTAGGAGGAATATTAGAGAATCCCTGAAAAAATATTCATAAATGTGCGAAAGAGAAAAGTAGTATCATACAGTTTAAGGAAACTACTCGCTAATTTAAAAAAACAAGTCGATATAATATCACTTTTTTCATGCATTATAGAATCCATAATTCACATCTTGAATCACCTTTGAAAAACTTCTTAACTATTAGAATTCTATCTAGCCATTAGAAAATTACAGAAACAGATTTATGTAAAGATATGATAAATAATCATTTTATTGGTGGGTCAGTCATCATCTTTTCCAAGTTTACCCCTCCCCCACCCACTCACACTCAATATATCCAATATATAATTTCCAATAATCTCTGTTAAAAATATGGTACTCGACGCACGTATAGATATCATTAACGTCTTGGGTTTCAAAATATTTTTCTTCGTAGATAAATGATGAAAATCAATCATAGATTGTTCTTGCTGCAGAGCTCGGCCTCCATTAGACTGTACTTGCTGCAGCGCTCGGCCTCCATTAGAATGTTCTTTATGCAGCGCTCTGCCTCCACTAGACTTTGCTTGCTGCAGCGCTCTGCCTCCTATAGACTGTTCTTGCTGCAGCGCTCTGCCTCCACTAGACTGTTCTTGCTGCAGCGCTCAGCCTCCACTAGACTGTGCTTGCTGCAGCGCTCGGCCTCCATTAGACTGTTCTTGCTGCAGAGTTCAGCACCCACTTGACTGTGCTTGCTGTAGCCCTCTCTCCTCCTTTAATATTTCCCCTATATATCCCTCCCCCTCCACTACTTTTAATATCCCCTCC